GTATTTGGTTATATTAATAAATTATCTTAAAGGAACAATGCATTTTTTGTGCAGTTTGATTTCTTGGTGGAGACCCAACCATTTGTGAAGAGTTCAGAAGACTTCCAAGATGACTGCTGTTGTTCGTCAAATAATTTCAGCTGACAAATTTCCATTCTGAAACTCAAGAATGTGTTAGTCCTATACTAGGAATGCATTGTCAAGTTAGCTATCAACCCCATATCTTTCTCCAAACTTCTGTTTAATCATAATATATGTAGCTTAAAACATTTTTTATCATTACTTTTATAAATTTTATACAGTAGGAGATGACCAAACGAAGACATCTATAAATTTTTAAGCAGTGTGGATTTTTCTGTATCCAACATTATTGTTGCTATATAATAATTTAAACTGTAAATTTTATTGTTTTACTTTCATACTAGAATTTACAAATGTAATTAACCACAGTAGGATGACACATACATATAGTTAGGAGTTGTATCTTTTTATCCATATTTGAAATCCAAATAAATGATCAACAAAATTTTGTGTTTTCTTTCATTTTTCAACATTCTATAAAAAAAATTCTTACCATTTTTGGGTTTTATTTTTTATATGGTCTCGACTCGACAAATTTTGAACTTTTTATTTTATTTCATCCCCTCGACCCGACTTTTTCTTAAAAATTCCCGTTAAACAGAAAATAAAAAAAAAACTCTGGCCTAATGTCTACGTTGATCGGACATGTAAAAGGGTCATACAAATGCATGTTCTTGCTTTTAAACATTATGCTTTAAAAATGCCTGCGAACAAGGACTATTTTTTACATGATCTAAAAAAAAATAAATTGTGAAATTTTGTGCCGATGTAAAGAGTTATAGCATTTGCGTCAGAAGAAACCTGAAGCTTCCCCCTATTCAAATTAGGGGTGCTTTTTGTGCAAATGTATTCATCCAGTGACTTTTCATCCGATACACAGGTTTTTTGAGCGCTCCGTACTTCAATTTCTTTCCCTTAAGGTGACTTTAAGGTTTCTTCTATTGGAAGTATGCATTTGTGTACTTGTAACAAACAATTTATTTTTCTAAAGATATGATGAATCGGTGTTTTTCAAATAATGGACTATAAAATTAATGACAGTTTTAACTAAAAAAACCTTTCATATCTTCCAAGTCAATGAACGGAGCACTGATGTATATTTAGGAACAAGGGCAAATGTATAATATATACCCACAATAATTTGAATGTTAGAATTCTGTATTTATGAGACACAAGCAGTAAGTGCAAACTATATGCTACAGGACTTCAATATAAATTGATAGATACAGAAAAAAATCAAACAAAATCGATTGAAATTCTTAACACATCTTAATCATAAAGTTTTCTCCCAAAATTTTAATTACCCATTTGAAAAATGATCTGACCATCGATAGCTTTCAGACACTAGACACAATGTCGCATAGGTGTGCTCAAAGCGTGGAAATGAATAGATTTGAGTCACGTGTTCAGTGCTTTGTTATTCATGAGGTCAAAGACGGATTGAAATTTGTAAACAAGGTGCCTTTACTATGGAGACAAGAACCCGTGATTTTGCAACTTTTTGGAAAATAACAAATGAGCGCAAGACTGTTTCAATTTCTTTCATGAATGTAAATGACTAGTATAACTCTTTACTTTGACCGTATATACGACAACTTGAAACACCCATGCGCTCATATAAAAATGGGGGTGTGGCCTAAAGTCTATGAGAAATCGATGTAAACAACATACCCCTGCTATATTAATCACATAAATACCTAATTACAGTGCAAGGAAGTAAAAGTTTAAATTATTAAACTACAATGTTTGATGGAAAAATTGAGGCAAAAATATGTAGAAAATCTTCAATTTAATTTTTTGTAAATTATAGGGGGCCAGATTTGGACGTTTAAACGATTCATCCTTTCATCCAATCAGCCTTGTTTAGTTTTCAGTTTTGAACATAACTATTTTCTGAGGGTTTATTCACTTCAACAATAATAGGGAAACGATCACTCCCGAATAAATCGTCATGTACTGGCCAGTTAAAATCCAAGAGTAAAGAAGGATCTACTAAAGTGATATCTATAGAAGAATATGAACCATTACCCGGATGTAAGTAAGTGCTCGATCCGTCATTAAGTATACAAAGATTATATTGTGATACTGCATCTTCATTTTTTTTTTCCCGTTTATCTGTTATTTTGTCACTACCCCATAGCGGATTATGGGCATTAAGTCACCCACTATTGGAAATGGAGTAGGAAGTTGTTGTATTAATTCTGTAAGTTCTAAAGATTATAACTGATAATATTGGGGTACGTATACGGAACAAAGGGTAATTGTTTTATCGATAGAAAGGCGCACAGCTACTGCCTGAAGATTAGTTTTTAAAACCAGTTGGCTATAAATGTAATTAATATTGACTGCTATAGACGCATCACCAGATGCTCTTTCAGTCGGAGCATAATGGTAATACATACTATAATTTTTAATGCTAATCTTATCTGTTTCTTTCAAATGTATTTCTTGTAAACATAAAACTACCGGGCAATGGTCCTGAATTAGTAAAGATAATTCGTTAAAGTTGACTCTAAAACCTCGGCAATTCCATTGTATAAATGTAGGATGATTCATTTTTATTTGCTATGGGTAATGGGGGATATTCTCCCTTTATTTTTATTAGGTGACATACTTCGGACTTCCGAGGAAGAATTGCATGGTGTAACGTCGATTTCCTCGAAGACCCCAAATTTATTATAGAGAGCGACGGGATCTTGTGCCCCTTTGGGCAACCGATCGCTCGTCTACTTTTGTGCATTTTTGACTCCCAGACGATTTTGATGGACCCGCAGCTGCGGGCTTTGATGTAGCTATAGTTACAGATTTTGGCGCAGCTGCAGAAGCAGGTGTTGAAGTAGATTTATTATTGTCATTAGATGACAAAGAAACCTTAGATGTGGTTTGTTGAGAAATATTCTCACACACCTGAGTAGACATATCCTTCTTTGAGGATGCTTTTAAAACTGTTGAATATGATGGCAGATTAGGATTAGGTACACTATACATTTTGACCAATTTTTTCGCTTCTGGATACGGAATTCTTTTTTTCTGTTTTGACGTTTTGAATTTCCTTTTCTTTTTGCCATACTGGGCATTGTCTTGTTTTTTGTTTGTTTGTATGTTGTTTAACGTCCCTCTCGAGAATTTTTCACTCATATGGAGACGCCACCAATTGCCGGTGGAGAGCTGCAAATTTTGTACTATACTAGGCACTTACGGCCATTGAGCAGTAGGGGATCTTTTTCGTGCCAGCACCTACTGCGACACGGGACCTCAGTATATACGGTCTCATCCGAAGGACCGGTCTCCACGTCCCACAGTGGGATTCGAACCGGCGACGTAAGGATCAACTCCTTACTTCGCGACTCTAGAGCAGACGCTCTAACCACTGCGCCACGCGGGCGACGGCATTGTTTTGAAGAAGCCATGTGGTCTCCTTTGCAATTCTTACATTTAGGGTCTTTTTGACGGCCTTTGTCATCATGCTTCTCCTCACCACACCTGAAGCATGTATCAGCACTTTTGCAGTTTGATTGTCCGTGTCCAAATCTCTGACACTTAAAACAGCACAGTTGATTTGGAACAAACGTTTCAATTTTCATGATCTACAGGCCGACTTTAATGTTTGTTGGAAGAGTAGGTGTACAGAAAGTCAACAGATAAATGTTCGTCGGTTCAATGTTGTCATTACGCTTTTTAGTGAACCGTTTAACAGAGACCACACCTTGAGATTCCAATTCACATTGGATTTCCTGTTCCTGAATGTCATCAAGGTCATGATCTCTGTCGAACAGAATACCTTTGCTTTGATTGAGCCCAGAGTGTAATTTACAGGGATATTGGCTGAAGCGGTCAATGCCAACAAAGATGTAGACTGTTGGTTTTTTTAGTTAATTCAATTATAAGAGTTCCAGATTTTAACTTTTTAACAGATCTTGGAGTTCCAATTACTCCCTGTATTCCTTTCTGTATGAGAAAAGGCGACACCTTTGTAAGGGGCTTCGTTTGTTTTTCTGATAACTTTGCTTCAAGTGTGATGAAGCGGGGCCATTGTTCCACAACTGAAGTAATCATTCATAGAGGGTTCTAAACCTGATGGTAGTAGCCATGGTTTTATGAATAAAATTCAGAATCCTTGCTGTCCACCCGCCACAGAGCGCCAACAAGGGCGATGTCAAGTCAACCGGATATCCAGTAAGAATGACACCAAGAGGATACAAAGAAAGCACTACAAAAACCAACAACACTGTATATCCTAAGTGTCGGATCTACTAAATAGATATAAGGTCAAGGATGGAAATTTATATAAAGCACTACAAATGACCAACGACACAAACAATAAAAATTGTCAAATTGTCAAAGTGCACTTCACCAGAGTACACCCGAGAGACCTGACGCATTTCATAGAAGTGAACTTCACCAGAGTACACCCGAGAGACCGGACGCATTTCATAGCGGTCCGGATTTATTTCTTTACAACTGATTATAAAATTCAAATTCAACATGTAACATTGTAAATAAATTGTGTTTGGTAGTTTAGTAGTAGTGCTAGCCGTTTTTTTGTTTTTCTATTTCCTTTGCTTATATGACTTCATAACTTTTTTCCGATGACAAATAAGACGGACCATAACAATGTCGGACTATAACAGAGTCGGACCATAACAATGTCGGACTATAACAGAGTCGGACTACCGTATATATATTTATTAAATAAACGGAATAAATAAATGAATGAATACAATGATAGGTATATTTCTTCAAACAGGTTATAAGCGTAATTAATTGGGTCATTGTCAAAACATGGATAACTCTTAGATAAACAATTACCGCATGCATCCGACTGGCGGATACTTAAGAACGAGCATATTAATTATCAAAAAAGTTCTTTGATCTTCCGTGGAATTTGGGTTTTCAACTAAAATGCAATCATTTCGACCATGGATTCCATCAGCGACCGGTGTGTTGCGTGTACGAGAAAAGTATCTGCAAGACAACATGCACTGCTGTGTGATGGTTGCAATCGCTGGCATCACAGAATCTGTGATACAGGTAAGTGAAGATATGTTATATTATGTAATATATTATTTAAATTGAAAAACTGAAAAAAAAAATACCGATAAATATAAATAGTTAATTATCTGATTGATTAGAAAATTCCTGAAAATGTGTATTTATGACTAAGTATGTTATATATATATATATATATATATATATATATATATATATATATATATATATATATATATATATATATATATATACAAGAATATTGATGGAAGGGGAAGACATGCATGTATAGCATATGAAACATATTATTTTCTGTTGTACTCAATTTGGAATAATTATTTATGTATAGTTATATGCAGATGTAAACTTTTTAGAATGTTCTGTAGTTTTTCTTTAATTTAAACACCGTATTTTTGTGAAAAATACATAAAGAACAGCAGAGAGTGTCTTATAAATGTGTTGAAATTAAAATCAGGATATTTTAAAAATTGTTTTGCCAAAAGAATCTTAACTATTTGTTCAAATTGGCCTTAAAAGTACTATTTTGCTTTTTTTTCTGAATTAGAAAATTATGTGATAAGTCATTAAATATGAAATAGATTTTTTTTAAATATAGAAATATCTCCTTTGAAATAATTTTGGTATACAATATTACTTGTGTAAACCTATTAATTATATGTACAAAGTACAAATTGCTAGAATTAGACTATCTGCACATAATCTAAATGTTGAAACAGGTAGATATGTTAATGAAATTAGAAAAAAACAGATTATGTAAAATGTGCTCTTTGAATGTTATCGAAAAAGTATTATAAGAAATCCAGTGTTTGGAAATTAAGTCAACTTACAAGTGTAAAAAATATAAAGGAACTTTGTAACCTTGGAAAATATTAATATCAAGCTTCCACTAAAGAATGAAACATTTGTAAATTTTTTAAGTATTTTTAAGTATTTTATAATTACAGTTGCCCGTTAGAAAACACGTCCTACATAGTTTGCTTGCTATTTATTGATTATGCTCACTCTCATATTGTTATATTTTATAATATTGTATATATGTTTAGTTATTAATATAAGTAATCTGATGTGTCGTATGACGCAAAGAAATAAAAAACTTAAACTTGAAATATTGAAGGCTAGAAGGTGGTTCTCTGATGGTACATTTAAGATCCTCGCCAGACCATTCCAGCAGCTGTGGTCCATCCATGCATTTGTGTGCAGAGGAGACAGTTACAAACAAGTTCACTTGTCTTCTGTTTCATGTCTACATGTAGGAGGAAAAGCAGGGATTATGCTGCAGTAAGTTTTCCTAAATTGTTTGTATATTTAAAGAAAATGTTCTAGATTAAACATAAATAAATAATTTATTTTGTTTAAAATAATTACTGTCTAATGTAGTTTTTATCTTGAATTAATTTACTTTTATCTTAATTTCAGATATTAAAGAAGCTCAAGGTGTACCACAGGTGCAGTCCTTTGTGGTCGACTTTGAGAAAGGTATCAGAATTTTTAGCTTATGAATTTTAAACTATTGAAATATAGAGAATAATTATTAATATTAAATACATTTTAATTTATATCTTAAAATAGCAAAGGATTTTTTTAATTATGAAGAAGATTGTTTTCATTAATTATATTGAATTTTTTTTAGGTGCCTGGAAAGCCATCCGCGAGGAATTCCCCAACACACTTATCAAAGGATGTGCTTTTCACTTTGGCCAGGCAGTGTGGCGGAAAGTGCAGGAATTAGGACTGAGGACGACATATACCAAACGTGGTGCCGAATATCGGTACATCAGGTCTTTGATGGCACTGCCCTTTCTGCCCAGGATCTGGAGTATCTTCCAGAACAATGTCAGGACAAACAACGATGTAGAAGGTAAGCTAAATATGTGATGGTAATAATATAAGATAACACCCACATTAAAAAAAGATATTTTTGAATTTACATATTTCAGGTTGGCATGCCAGGATCAATGCAGACATCGGTAAAGCCAATGCCGCCTCCTACATCCTTGTGCCTGCTCTTCAGCGTGAGGCGCGATTGGTGGACTTGACTGTCCGACTTGTGTCAGAGGAACAGATCCTCCGTTGCCAACGTAGGAGGTACCAGGACCTCAGCTGCCGGCTTCACGAAGCTTGGGACCGTTATACCAACGGAGAGCTCACAGCATCCCAACTGTTGCGGGAGTGTGGTGGTGTATACGGCCCAAACAACGACTAGTTCTTTGGTGTTGTGCTTGTGATTGTGAAATGTGTAAATATGTGTTAACAAACAATGAATAGTTCTATAGTGTTGTGATTGTGACTCCAAAGTGTTGACTGTGTGATATTTACACCAGTGACAATTATTTGATACAGCTTTAAACGTTGACCATATAATGTGCTTGCTTTATTTATTTGGTTTCAAACTTTGTTTGCAATGAAAATAAATTAATTGAAACACACTTTTTTGTTAGTTTTTCTTCATTACAATTTGAGGCTTTAATAAGGTTTTAAATCTGCCTTTTCAATCAGTGCATAAATATATAAAATTCATGATAACTGCGGTACTACTCTTTTGCATGGCAAATTAATTACGTTTGGAAGTATATTTAACAATTAATTTTTACGTCATATTTCAGCAAAAAATATATCTTTTTGCCCTGCAAAAGAGCAGTACCGCAGTTATTGTGAAACGGTCTATAGTTCAAGTCAACAAACTATGCTGCAGCTTCACTACGAAATATACAGAGGCAATTCTGGTTAATGAGAACAATAACCAGGTACACAAACCTGCAACTCTGGCCTAACAAAATAAAATGAGAACAACATTGTTTAAGTAATATAAGGCCTATATAACAGTATAACGCATAAGAAATATACTATAGGGCAACATAACCTTTTATCAATTATCATATGCACCGTCCACTTACTAACGTACGTTATACTACAATTCAACATTTTTAAGGTCAGTATACCTTCATACTCTTTGGAAATCATAAAAAAAGTCTTCGAAATAAATATAACTTAATTAATTAGTAAAAATAATCCTATGGTCCGAGTTTGTTATAGTCCGACTTCCTTATAGTCCGACTTTGGGTAGTCCTAGTTTGTTATAGTCCGACATTGTTATGGTCCGACCTACCAGTAAATCCTTTTTTCTTTGACCTGAGGAAAATTTGACAATTTCTATTGTTCGTGTCGTTGGTCATTTTTAGTGCTTTATATATATATATATATATATATATATATATATATATATATATATATATATATAAAATTAACATGGAAACGTCGGCGTATTAGAAAATTGCAAAAAGATAATAAAAATAGGTTGCAAACACATCAATACTAAGGCATGTCAATAAAATCAGCTCGGCATGACCAGCCGATTGATCAAGTCGGGCCAATCTTGACCTCTCGTCTAGATGAATATGGGGCCAAAGTGGAGTGTTGGTTATGTCAGGTGCATTACTCCAGCACCTGCAGACCTCAGCCACCAGGATCCCCTTCTCCACCAACACGGGTCGCAACCCACGGCCAACAGGTTGCCCCCTTTAGTCGCCTCATACGACATGCAAGGGGGTGCCAGGGACCTATTCTAATCACCCCGGGTCCCCACGGGGGGGGGGGGGGGGGAGACATTTCGAAGTTACAGTACAAACAAAACCATACGAGCATGCAATAAACGAGGGTAATCAACTTCAAGCAAACTTGTTGCTAATCCCTTCCTCTCTCTGTGAACACAAACCAAGAGTATCTAAAGTTTTGGTAATTCCTGAGACGATGATGTCTAAATTTTGGAAGCGCGTGGGAATGTTCACTAAATGTCTTGTGATGATGACATCTTCGAAGAGACAAATTAAATTCTCTTGACTTTTAAGTTGTTTTAAAAATATATGTCAAAACAACTATTATAACTTCAAATACCTCTTAGATTATGCTACTGCTTCACTCAATGATTGATTGTATGTTGTTTAACGTCCCATTCGAGAATTTTTCAGTCATATGGAGACGTTACCATATACCGGTGAAGGGCTTCAAATTTTGACCTTTACTCGGCACTCAGGGCCATTGAACAGTGAGGGATCTTTATCGTGCCAACGCCTGCCGTGACATGGGGCCTCGGTTTTTAAGATCTCATCCGAAGGACCCGCAACTTTCACTTCAGCGTGCCGAGCGCATGGCGAAGGAATAGTTGCTACCCATTTTTCATCGACTTAGGTCAGTCGCGGCCGAGATTCGAACTCACGACCTCCCGATCTCGGAGCGAGCGCTCTACCGATTGAGCTACCGTGAACGGTGCTTCACTCAAAATGCGGCATCCAAACTAATTTACTCACAACGAGTCATTTTGATAAACTATGTGTCACTGATGCTAACTGTCATTCCTTAACTTCGGATTGTTCAAGCGTAATTTTTAGACTTTAAGAACTCACCCTACTAACCCTACCGACCTAAATTAATATTTATATAAAAAGTGTCATCAACGTTGTATTGTTAGCGGAAACTTTTACATTATTTTCCCCTGTAATGGGTATGTATATCTGAGGTGAGGTCAAGACGTGTTAATTTCTACCAATGATGGCAAAATGCTCCCTCATTATAACATTCTAAAGTATGTTGAAGGAGAAAATTCTTGTCACTGCGAGTGGAATTAGATATTATTGATGTTGTACATAATTCATTTATTGCCAGAAGCTGCTTTGAGATGTTCTATAGTTAATATGAATCGACTGCATTGCTGAGTCGAATCTAATCGGCCCAGATTGAAGCCTGTTTAATGCCTTCTACAAATGTTTGTCTTCTTTCTCAGCTGCCTTGACCGGTCGTTGTTCTTTTTGTTCTGATGTAAATAGAAAATTAAATTAAAATGGTTGCTATACAAATGACACAATATACAAATCCTTTCAATATTAAACATACTTGTAGAAAAACAAGCAAAGAAACTAAATGCACGGACGTATTAACATGTAAAATTTTAACGATTACTTTTCTATTCTCTATACTCTAACTTCTTATCGTCTTAAAGGATTGTGAAGGATAAGAAGTTAATATGGTGACTAGTAAATTTGAGAAGAAAATGTTGACTTCAGAAAAATTGGCCTTTTAGACTCGCAATAGCGTTAGAGATACTTGCTAAATATGTAAATGTAACATAAATATTATTTTGTAATTATGCCATTTTAAAAAAATGTTTGGTTGCCCTCTTCCGACCTACTGGCCAAAAATGGCCCGACTCAAAACTTTTTTTAACCTCGAGGAAGCAATTTTTATTATGCATTCTGGAAAATAGATTTTAAAAATTCAGCATTGAAATTTCCTGGGAGAAAAATTTCTCGCCTTTCTACCGACCCATTTTTTTCATCCCGACTCTGGAGAGGGCAAACAAACATTATTTTAAAGTTGGCCTTAGTGGATATTATAAAGAACGTAAAATTTTCCCATGAAAGTTGGACATACTACATGTAGGAGAGTATAACATTGGATCAGAATTTCACTTTCATATAATTTCACTAAGCACGGCTTATTAGATAAAATGGAAAATGTTTTGCCGCTTGAATTTAGATTTCACATTTATTTCAGCAATAAAAAAAAATCTATATTTCATTAAGAACAATCAGCATTTGAAACTAAGATCATAAAGTATATGTTTCAGCACTAACAGATCCCTGTTTATTTTAAGAAAGTTAAGAGAACGAAGACAGAATGCCATGATGTAATTTTAACTTGTCCAAAACATGAACAGGGAACGGAATAAATGCTAAATAAAGATGACTTAGCTTTTTTATCCCAATGTCGATTAAAAAATGGTATTAATTTAATCATATAAATTAAATGGATGTAATCCGATTGCGATGACGAAAAAATGACGGCATCATATTAATCATGACAGTTTTCAATTGATAATTTTTTATTACGTAAGAATGACTAGGCTTTCTTCGTATATGTTGATTATCATCCTATTTTTCCTCTTTTATGGGAGAATCTCAATTTTACAGTCATTTTCCATTCATTCAGAATTTGAGATACAACTTTCAGATATCTCGCAGCTATTTCTTACTAGAAATTAATGTGGTATATAATATTGTCATGTACAGCTTTGGTGCAAATAACAAGATTTTTTTCCAATAATTACTTGATTAAGTGACATCCCCCCTTATTTTAACATTATTGTCGTCTTATAAGGCATCCGAAAATTAAGTATCCTTTTAGCTTCTCAAATACCGTGATAAAAGTCCATAAAAAGAAGAGGAAAGTATTATAAAATGGAAACTCATTTTTGGGGAAACGCTAGCTCAAGGTTATTTACGGTGTTATCTCACCTGACATCCAAACATATATCACCGTGACTGAAGGGGATTCAGTCACGTAGTATATAATATATCTTATATTTCTATGCAGTGACAAATCCAAATTGGGTTAGTTATTTTCAAGGTGATGTTTTAATTTTCTTTCGATCTGTCTGTTGACAGGGCTCTTGTCTGGTCTCAGGATGTATAAGAAAATTTTCCTTGATCAAGCTTAATTTAGATTAATATTTTTTTTGCTGAAATTTTGAGGGCTAGGATTTTTAAAAGCTTTAGCTTGAAAGCTTTTTCAACCTTTCTCGAAATGTATTGAAATGCGATCCAAGAGATGGCTATTTATATCTTTTTAAGTTTAATGTTCTTCAAGAAATTGTTTCTGAAAATAAAAAGATTTCTATCTGTCTGTTCACTTTAGAAGAATACAAAGTAATGCATATTAGCGGTAACAAATCAAATTGTTTTTTAAAGCTGCATCTTTGTACATGTACCTGTTTTTATGTCCCCGTTATCGAAGATTCGGGGGCATATGGTTCCTGCAAAAACTTTAACCTTGCCAATAGCTTTTGATTGGTTGAAGATATGGCTTTCATATTTCACATTTGTACATGTATTCTTTAATTAATTGTGTAAAAATTTTATTTCGTATCAACTTATATGATCTTTTGACCCACTTTTGCAAAATTTTACCAAACTTAAACCTTTGCCAAAACTTTACGTGTTTTGGAATTAATCTAAACTCGAACCTGTTGTACCGTCACGGTAGCTCAGTCGGTAGAGCGCTCGCTCCGTGATCGGAAGGTCGTTTGTTCGAATCACGGCCGCGACTGACCTAAGTCGACAAAAAATAGGTAGCAACTGTTCCTTCGCCAAGCGCTTGGCACTTTGAAGTGAAAGTTGCGGGTCTTTCGGATGAGACCTTAAGAAGCGAGGC